TGCGGCGCGGGCCGGGCGAGCTGCCGCCTGCTCCCGGAGCGAGCGGAGCGCGGCCATGCCCGGGCCCTAGCGCGCTGCCGCAGCCCGCGCCCGCCGCCACCTCTTCAATGGGCAACCTGCTCGGCGGGGTCAGCTTCCGCGAGCCCACCACCGTGGAGGACTGCGACTCCACCTGGCAGACCGACTCGGAGCCCGAGCCCGAGCAGCCGGGGCCGGCAGGCGGTGGCGAGGGCCAGGAGCACGACGAGCCGGAGCAGCCCGAGCAGCCTCCCGAGAGAGCCGGAGGGCGGCCCCGCGCTAGCCCTGTGCCCGAGGACCACGCCGAGGCGGCGGGCGCGGAGCAGGTACCCGGCCCCGGAACCCACGGTGGGCCCGGCGGGGGTCGTGCGCCCGGTGCCGGGGAGGGGACAGTGCGCGGCCCCCCGAGGGTGCATGGCAGGGTGCTCAGCGTGCCTGGCCCCGCCACCTGACCTAGGAGAGCCTGAGGTGCCCAGGATCGCCCGGTAGCCCGCTGCTGGCCCGGGGGCCTTGCTGTGCGCCTCGCAGGGAAGTCCCCCAAGGCAAATCCTGACTCCACTCGGTGTTCTCTGCAGCGCAGCTGGGTGATGCGAAGGTGGGGTGGGAGGAACTAGACTAAAAATAGAAGATTGTGAGGACCCGGTCGGTGCTTGTTATTGATTTTTTTCTTTATTTTTTAACATTTAAAATATTATTCAGATCAAGAAAAAAAAGGCAGTTGCAGAGCGGCCGGCAGCCTCCCCCTCCCAGCGGGGGGCCATGGCCATTAAAAGTATCACAGAAGGTTCCTGAGCAAACTTAAAATAACACCGTTCTTTCCTCCAAGAGAGACCTTTCAACGACTTCGAGTATTCCTTAAACGTTTCTTTTCACCTAGAAGACTTGTTGATCCAACCAAGCTTAAATCAGTTGACCAATACAGTTAAGTAGTTAGGTTAGATAGTGTCCCTTAACCTCTTGTGGCTTCCGGAAACTTTTAAAAGGAGGAACTGTATATTTTTAAAGAATTCTGCAGCGTTTAAGGTTGATGGTTCTGTATTAGGCCTCCCTTTTACAACTTGAAGGAAAATGGAGCCCAAAGTCCAATGTGACTTTAGGGGAAACATTACCTTTCGAGGAAGTCCGAGTCCTTCCCATCAGAGTTAATTGAGCATGTTATTGAATGGAATGCTATTTCAGGGTGTGCGGTCCATTTTCATTCCCCATTTTGGAGAACTCTGAGCTTTTCAGAGAAAATCTTGCCTAGAGCATATAGGGAGAGAAAGATGCAAGCTTAAGTAAGTCTGTGGCCATAGTGAGGGGCCTTGGCCCTGGTGGATGAGATCATGGCCGACCTTGCCTTGTGTTCCGGTTTGTGTCTTACACTTAGTATTGTTTGCTCAACCCCGAAACAGTATTGCATGACACAAGTCAGCGTTTTATCCTCCCATTTGTCTCCCAAGTAAATAGCCACCGACAGAAGTTTGAAAATAATCCAATTAACTGGGTCAGTTGTAAAATAACATAACATTTCAGCTAATACCCTGCAACCTGAACAAGAGTGGAGCACCCTTTAATTATTAATTTTTGTTTCTGAAAGTTCCACCAGACTTCTTTTTTCTTTATCTTGTTTTTTTTTTTTTTTTTTGATTTTTTGAGACAGGGTTTCTCTGTGTAGTCCTGGGTGTCCTGGAACTCACTCTGTAGACCAGGCTGGCCTCGAACTCAGAAATCCGCCTGCCTCTGCCTCCCAAGTGCTGGGATTAAAGGCATGGGCCACCAACGCCCGGCCAGACTTCTTAAGTAATCTTTGTAACGTTGTTTTGATTCCTCTCCAGTGGTTGTCCACTACGTGGACCCTATCAGTTCCCCCTTTAAAATAGGTCTCAGGCTGGCTTCTCACCACTGTGTTTGCTCTCATCCATCTCTGGAAACGTTAGACAAAAGATGGTACCATGAACTGAGGTGAGGAAGCCTGGGCTGAAAGATGCTTCAGAGGTTAAGTCTTCGGTCCTATTAGACACCCAAGTGGATGGGTGAGTAGTTGATGTTCTCTGTAAATAGATACTTGGTCTAGTCCTGGAGCTATAGACAGGCATTTACAATTAGTCGTACTTAAAAAAAAAAAATCGATGCAAGGTAAGAGGTCATCAAGAAGTCTTGAGGGTAAGCCTTCTCACCCTCTGTAGGGGGTGTGATTAAGAGGGGGAGACAAAAACAGAGGGAAGTAGTGGTACAGGAAGGAAGACAGGTGGGTGTGATATTGTGATAGCCAGGTGTTAACACTGTTTCTGTAGAGAGCCTTAAGGGGTCAGAGTTGCTAGGAAGTCACCTGGAATGACCAGAGATTTGAGTAGAGGGAGATTCATTTGGAAAGTTCCTAATAGTCCCATTTTAAAGCCAGGCAGCGGACAGGGCGTTATGTAGGTCACGGGGTGGGCTGTAGAAGAAGAGAGAGTACGCACAGTTCCTCGGTGATGATTTACTTCCAAAGAAAGCAGAGACACAATCTACAAGTAGGCTAGACCTGGGTCAAGGGAGACATCATGCTTACGATTGCAGAGGCTGCAACGCGTTTTGGTGGTTGCATGGAATGGTTTGGAAGAGGGAAGTTTTGATGATTCAGGCGAGGGGAGTGTTAAGGAGCAGAATCCTTGCTGAGGAGGTAAAAGCGGCCAGGACACAGAAGTGAACTGGACGGATGCTGGCAGGTTGAAGGATGCCATCATTTACATGGTAGTCTCAGGGAACAGGACATGAGTCGTTAGCTTCGTTTCACAGCTGATAAAACTAAGATTCAGCTAAGTGATTTGCTTAAGGCCTCACAAATATTAAGGAGCAGAACCCAAGCCTCGCCTCACTCTCTCGGTTCCAGATACTTGGGTCGTTGATCTTCATAACAGGATTTTCAAATATCCGTCACTTCTAGCAGGGAAAAAACTGGTTCACACCCGATTAGTCAGACGTGGAAGCAAGCAGCGAGTTCTTGCACTGTTGTTGGGCTCTGAGCCTTGCTCGGTTCCTCTAAGTTTCAGTAACCTTGTTCCCAAGATGCTGGCACTAATAACTGTCAGTCAGACGTGTTGCACGGGCGTGTTTTGTAAACTGGAAGGTGCTCTCCGCAAGCGCGTGTGGTTGTAACTCAGGCTAAACAGATTCCAAACCTTGCTAGGCAGAGCTATTTTGAAAAGTGTGGCAAGAACCAGAATGTGAGCTTTTCCTTGCTTATGTAACACAGACAGTGTAACTACTGTTAAACAGCAGAGGATTTGGTGTGAAAGTATCTCTGTACTTGTAGTAAGAGGGAGAAATCACACCGATTCAGAAATGTGTGAAAGCTTCTTAGAAGATGCCAGTCTGTCAACACAGACAGACAGAGGGTGGGAGGGGTTGAGATAAAGGGTTGAGGGTAGACTTCTTGATGAACATTCACATTTCAGCACCACCACAGTCTTCTTGGTCATGTTTGGTCTTAAGGTCCTGAGTGAGTGTCACTGGACAAGTGCATTTTGCCATACAGCTTATGGTCTGGATAACTTAGAGGTTATCAGACCCATATCTTATCCATTTAAAATGACATCACAGTGCTGGCACTTTGTAAACAGCACAAGCTAGCCACCACGTAGAAAGTACTTCAGTGTTCATTCCACTGAGAGCTCTGTCTTGCTGTGTGTATTTAAGTTTGCTGATTTCTAGCCCACTGATCATTGAATGAGCAGATGATTACTCATGCCTTGTGTGTTTGTTATGGTGCTTTGAAGTAGTGCAGGAAGCTAATTTAGTTTAAAGCCCTCCTTTCCTTTCATAAATATTACTTGACTTTCAGGCGCAGCCAGGAGATGCAAATTTAATGAGAATCTTCTGGATAGAATTGATTTACCAATTTAACCCCTTTGTGGCACGCTAGAAAATATCTGTCCTAGGCTTCGTTGTATAACATCTGGTGGAACATGTTTTCAGTTCGTTCTGAGCGCTGTTCTGGATCGATCCTGATCCCTAGCAATTACCCTCCAAGGGCATTGACTAGTAAAGTTTTTTTATTTAGTGATATACCCCAGGACAAAAGTGTTTAGTGCCAATTCGGCAGGTTGATGCCAGCAAGCACTGCTTGTAAGCATCATTAAAAAGACCGAATAGTTTCCTTTATCTGGGCAGATTGTAAATGCTCAGGGTTCTTGATGGAGGTTGATGACTTTAAGTTTGTCCCAGAAGTTTCTCAGTATAATTCTCTTTGTAAGTGGAGTTTCACTTTGCATCCTAGGGTGGCGAGTCCACGGAAGGAAGTGCTAAACCAAAGAGAAGCTTCTATGCGGCGAGGGATTTGTACAAGTACCGACATCAGTACCCAGTAAGACAGCGCCATGCCTTTTCTTTTTAAATGTAAACTTTTGTTTTTCTGATTTTACTCTGCCGGTAAACATGTCAGAAGGATTCTTGTGCCTTGTGTGTGTGTGTGTCCATATACTGGAGATTAATTTATTTTTTCCTTTAGCAGAACTTCAAAGATATCCGATATCAAAATGACTTGAGCAACCTTCGCTTTTATAAGAATAAAATTCCATTTAAGCCAGATGGTGAGTAACCCACTTTGATAACAAGTAAGTTTTAAATAATAACACGTACCTGGGCGCACTTCCCTTGTTCTGGGCTTCATGTGTTCCTGCTGGATTTGTTGGGCGGTTACCTTGGTTTTGCTTTGCCATGCAGGCTGATGTGTCCCCAGAGCCCTGGATTCTGGAGTTGCCTCCATCCATTTAGTGAGCTGTAGAGAAATAGATATTTGTTAGCTGCACTTTCTCACTATCTGTGTGTCATGGTAGTTACTGACAAGGTAGGAGGAGCAGGGTTTCTGTTTGCTGGTTTGGTTTAGTTTCATTTGGGGAGGGGGCGCTTAGGAGGTTTTAGTCTTCTTTTATGAGCAGAACAGAGGAGAAAGTTGTAAATGTATTGAATTTTAAGTGATTAGACCTTAGAGGGGTCAGATTCAGCCTTTTCACCTTGAAGATGCAGTTACTGGGATTTGAAGTCTGAAGGACTGACTTACTTAGTCACTGAGTTGATTTTAGAGTGGAATTAAGTTCCAGGATTTACTGTTCTTCCTGCTGTGCCATACCTAAAAATCAAGGGTTGGGGAACTGTAGCAATCCCAGTTCAAACCCTGCCAAATAAATGTGCCTCCCACACAGCCGTAAGGCCTCCCTCATAGAATAGGAGCCTTCCCAAGCCCGTAGTGGAAACATGCGGTTGCTATGGTAATTTGATTACAAACTCATAAGCAAAAAAACTGAGGCAGCACACTGTGCCTCACAGTGGGTATCTGAATTGTGTGTTGGCAAACAGAAGCCAGATACACTCCTTAGAAGTTACGTGTAAGGTGGCCAGATTGTCCTGATTCTTGTCATGTGCTCTCAGTGGAAGCCAAGTGACATTTAGAGCCGTATGAGTCAGCTTGCAAAGGTCCTAGATTGTGAGCCGGCGTGCTAGCTAGGCTTTATGTCACTCACGTGATGGAGTGGTTCAGGAAGAGGGAGCCTCAGCCGAGAAAGTGGCCAGTGGGCAAGCCTGTGGGGCATTTGCTGGATGCTTACGTCACCATGGGCTGGTGGGCCTGGTTGGTATAAAATAGCAGACAGAACAAGTCAGTAAACGGTATCCCTCTACAGCCTTTGCTTCAATCCCTGCACTAAGTCTCTGACCGTCCTTCCTTTCAGCGGTGGACTGTGATACGGAAGTGTGAGCGGACTAAGTCCTTTCCTCCTAGTGTTGCTTTTGGTCATGGCGTTTGTCAAAGCAATAGGAACCCCTAAGACACAGACATTTCAGAATGCTGGAATCATGGGGAGGAGGGAATGCTGGGAGAGGGATCAAAGTTTGGATGTGGTGTTTAGAAGGCGGGGAGTCCTGACATGTCCTGAGGAGTGTTGCTGAAATGGGCAAATCCAGTTAATGAACTTTTTGGTCTCTCAGAAGTCTGGAGGGTATAATGCACAGTGTATTTACCGTTGATTTAAAAAAAAACAAAAAACAAAAATCACAGGGGAAAATGACTCCAGCGTGTTAATGACACTGAAGGACAAATTGTGTGACTCTATACAGATTTCTGGGAGGGACCTTGGTGAAAAGCTGCTGGTCTTTGAGGAAACAAGGAGACGAGTTGTGGGTGTGGTATTTTTTTGTTTTTGTTTTGTTGTTGTTTTTGTTTTGCTTTCTTTTTTTCTTTCTTCCTTTTCTTTTTCTTTTTTTTTTTTTTTTCTTTCTGTAAGACTAGCTAACTGGCCAAGGATAAGGGCCTTGACAGGCTTGAGGATCAGGAGGATTTTATTAAGTTCTTATTGGCATTGACTATGGGCATTTTGAAAGGACTTGCTTTCTGCGGGCACAAAGACCTGTGTTCCACTCCCACACGACTTTGTAACTAGGGTGGGACACTGAACAAATTGTCATTGTTATTAATTTACTAATGAGAAGCTTTGAGCAACTATTCCACTGAAGAGCAGTGTTTTCCTGTTAGTCATGCAGAGGTGGTAATGCTGTTTGGAATAGTTTTCCTGCACAGAGGCAGATAGCAAATATGTTAGGCTTTGGAAAATAGTCCATTGAAACACTCAAGCCTGTCTTGTGCTAAGAAAAAAAAAAAAAAGCAGGCGTGAGCAGTATTAAAATGGTGTGCTTGTCTATGTTCCAATAAAACTTTATTTACAAAACGACTGTTAGGCCTTCATTTGCCACCTCTGTACATCACTCAGTACAATCTTCTGTAATCTGAAGGTGCTGCTATTTTTATTTTAATTGGGCTTCTTACATTACTGGGTATGTAACATAGGCTATTCCTCTCTTAGGAGCATTCTTATGTGTTGCTTTTAAACTGAACGATTTAATATAAAACTCAGGTGACTCGTATGTTTTAATGCCATCACTGTGTTTTTAACGAATGGTCCGTTTTCTCCATATTTGTTATGTAGGTGTTTACATTGAAGAGGTTCTAAGTAAGTGGAAAGGGGACTACGAGAAACTGGAGCACAATCACACGTACATCCAATGGTCAGTACAGCGTTCTCTGACTTGAACTGCGTCCTGTTCCATCATGTTTTCAAGACATCGATAATTGACAATCGTTAATTCTTTTTTTTTCTTTCTTTTTCTTTCTTTCTTTTTTTTTTTTTTAACCAGGCTTTTTCCCCTGAGAGAACAAGGCTTGAACTTTTACGCTAAGGAATTAACCACATACGAAATTGAGGTAATGCAGGCTCAGTTCACCTCACATAAGGTAGCCAAATAATATCATTCTTTTATTGTCCTGGTAGCTATGGAGTCATTTCAATCGACTTTCCTCCCCTTTTCTCATATTAGGAATTCAAAAAAACGAAGGAAGCAATCAGAAGATTCCTCTTGGCTTATAAAATGATGCTAGAGTTTTTTGGAATAAAGCTGATTGATAAAACTGGAAATGTTGCTCGGGCTGGAAACTGGCAAGAAAGATTTCAACATCTGAATGAGTAAGTGAAGCCCCAGCGGTAAGCCGTTGGCCTTTTCCTGTAGCTCCATTCTCTGGAAAGTAGGAATAGCTAGCCATGGGCATAGATCTATCTAGCTGTTGGGCATGGAAATAGCTAGTCATTGAGTACTGGATAGGCTAGCTATTGGGAATAGGACTGGATGTAGGAACAGCTAGGATTTGAACATAGGAATACATAGCTGTTGGGCCTTGAAATAGCTATTCACTGGGCACAGGGCAAGCTCTAGGTATTGGGCATAGCTAACTAGACATTGTCCAATTGTAAATATTGAGGAAACGAGAATGAATTAACACAACCAGATCTTGGACATAGGACTGGCTAACTATTGGGCATAGGACTAGCTTGCTGTTGGATATAGGACTAGCTAGCTGTTGGGCATAGGATTAGCTGGTTTTGGCCATATGACTAGCTAGCTATTGGGCATAGGACTAGCGAGCCATTAGGAATAGGAATCAAAATGTAGTCAGAGATACATTTATCCATCTTGTGCATTCTAAAACAAAGCATAGGAATGACAATGAAGAAATTCTACAGAGAGCTGACTGTTCTGCTCCAGAGTGGTTTCTTCTTGAATCCTCTGCCTACAGCCAAACTTGGCTTCTTTCCTTATATACGCCACATTTCGAGGAGTTTATAGTTATTGCTTGCTTACGATTTTCCATATGTTATCTCTCTCCTACGTTATAGGGGTACAAATTGTTTGTAATATCTTCATGCATGCAGACTTCTTAGGATAAATTCATAGATGCATTCTATGATGTATAAAAATGGGTTCATTTGATGTGGCCATACATCCAGCTAAAACAGAGGAAAAAGCACAGTTGTCTTCATGAATGAGATAAAGAACAAGTACCTACTTCTGGTTAATTCCAAAATCTATAAAGGAAAATTTAGCAGCTTTTTTTGGATGGGTTTGGCTGCACTCTCTTGCTTGGATATGTGTAATGATGATTAATACTCATAACCAAAGTTTAGTTTTAAAAATATTTTCTTCATATGCACACTGATTTTTTTTCTTTTTAAATTATAGAGTGACTTATGAGTACTGGACTATAAAACTAACAATTTTAAGAAACTTTTTTTAGTACCTTATAATTAGCTGAACTGGGCAAGTATTAAAGTGGGAAAAAAAAAACTAACACAAGCGATTTCTCTTTGGCAAAAACAATCAGAGTTTTGGCATCAGCTCTTTAAATTTCTTCCAGAATTCCCCTCACTTTGATGAAAGGAGTAAAATATTAGCATTGAGGCATCTTTGTCGTAAGTAACACTGTTAAAATAGGAGGTTCAGCTAAAGCCTTGAAAATATGGACATAAAACTCTATGATCCTGACTAGAGGCTCAATGACTTATAACGCAGGTTTAAGTTTGATACGTAAGCTAATATAAGTGTAAGATATATGCATGTGCCTATCTAATGCAGATAACCCTTTCTGGATGGTTTCTCTGTACTTTTGAATAAAGCTATCCGCAGTTAAGGCTTTGGCAAACACACTTCACCCTTTAGGTACCCACCTCTGTCCTTCTGTATTTTTGCTTGGAATGACAGTCTTGTTTGGTACATTGTTGTTGAAGTTATAAGTCACGGACAAAATGTGAGTGAAGGCTTTAGTCATCCCTAGGATATCGTTAGGTCTTTTCATTTATAGCCAAAACCAGAGCTCTTTCTGGAGGCTTTATTTAATTTGGTCATCTCGTAGCCTCTGATGAAGAATGACCAGAACTCACAGCCTTCCCACTCTGTCCCAACTAGCAAGCTCTCTCCCACTCAGCCAATAGCTTTCTGCTTTTGCAGCTCTGGGTGAGCTCTCCTAGGGAAACAAAAAAAGATTTAAAAATTTAAAAAAAAAATTTTTTTACATGTAGATGTGTATGCCTGCTTGTTTGTGGGTGTGCCACATGTGTGCCTCCAGAAGTCAGAAGAGGGTGTCAGATCCCCTGTAACTAGGGGTCCCTAGTCAGTTGTGAACTGCCTAATTCAGGTACTGGGAACCAAAGCTGAATTCTCTGTAAGGCTTTTCTGTTTATTTATTTTTCACACCAGATCTCCGAGTCTACCTTAACTCCAAATTTGCCACCATTCTAGCACCAGCTTCCAAATTCTGGGATTGCAGATGCGACTTTTTTGTCACCATAAGTTTTTATTGATTCGGTTTGAGCAGATAATAGAGAATGATGTAGACATATCTCCTCTATTTTCATTTGGATTCTTCTATGATCCATTCTTAAATGTCATTGCTTATCTGTGGTTGAAGCTGGGAGACATCTTTACAATAGGCTGGCCGGGACTTGGTTGTGTTTATAGCTCAGTGGAGGAAAACTGTTTAATCAGAGTAAACTGAAGTGAAACTGAGTGAAGAAGTGGCCTGGATACAAGTGGTGAAATGTGTTCAGCTATTAAAGGACGGATGCACGCAAATCAAGCGCTAAGATGCTGTCCAGGTCACGGTTGGGATGAGCTAGGATTCCTGAGCTGTACTGAGTCTAGTTTTGGGTTTTATGTCCCTGCTCTACGTTCTCTTGACCTATCTGGTCTTCTGACAAAGTCAGCACCACCCCTTTGTCTCCATAGCAACCCTTGCTCCATCGCCTGGTGTGGAAGCCAAGGTTATGTACAGCTCCGGCCTTACTTAACTTCTCTAGCCGCCATTTTGCCTTTCATTGCGACGTTTATTTCAAGCTGTCCTGAAACAACCAACTCCTTTGTTTCGTACATAATTTTGTTCTAGAATCTTAATCATTATTTTCCTCAGCTGCTCAGGTTTTTTTAAACTTTTTCCCCCTCGGTTACAGAAATGCTTTAACTTGTGAATATGTCAGTACCGATGAATGTATATGCAAACGCTAAGTTGTAGCCATACCTTTTCTTTGAAGCAGTCTCCCTGTCTTCTCCACGTCTTATTCTTATGAAGTCAGTTGCAGTAAGTTCTTTGAATTTAAGAACCCAGCATACATGTGACAGCTAAATCATCCCTGCTGTTAGTGGAATAGTGTCTTCACGTTACCCAGTCACATTGTCTTAAAACAGTGAGAGCAGTTACTGCTCTCTCAGAGGACCAGGGTGTGGTTCCTAGCTCCCACATGGCGGATCAAACTGTCCATAACTCCAGTTCCTGTGGATCAGGCATCCTTTTCTGATCTTCTTTGACTCTTGCACACACATGATCCACATAAACTTCAACAGGTACACACAGACAGATAAATAAGTTTTTAAAAAATTCAAATATTACAGATTCATGAAACTGAGGCATACGTGCTGAGTTTTACCCTTTGGGTTACAAAATAGATTTTAAAATAATACTTTGGGAGCAAATATCCAAAAGGATGGAGATAACAATTTTTTTATTCCAATATTTGCTTAGCTCAAATAATACGATTTTTTTTTATTTTGTCTGTATTCTTTCATTAAAATATAAGACCTGAAACTCTGTACTTCAATATCTTTAATAATTTGACATCTTTTTTCCAGCATTCCCTGGTGATTTGGTAATTACTTCTAGTAAAAAACTCAAGTGCTTTTGGAAGCTGGGGGAAATATGTACAGTGCTTTCAAGAAAGTTCAATGTCTGGTATAAAACAGAATTTTAGAAGTTAGAAGCAAGTATTAGTTCTATTGTGTAGCAGTCTTGGGTACATACATGCCCGACCTGCTAACATCAGACATGGTTCTGTAACGGGAGAGGGTCCTTAAAGGTTCAGCCAGGTGTGTGTGTGTGTGTGTGTGTGTGTGTGTGTGTTTTCAGCTGAACAAGGCTGGCGAGGTGAGTTATAAATTATGACTAAGTTTGGAAAATGCTAATCCGAGCATGGCCTCAGTTTTGAAAGAAAAAGGTGTGTCATGTGGGGAAAATGTGTGTTCAGAATCAAGGTTGTTCTACGTCAGATCTGAAGCCTTTTAATAAGGTGAGGCCAGCAAAGATGGAGGGAATAGGTTAAATTGAATTCCCGTGTGCTGTTACTGAATCCTAAATTCTGTTGTAGGAGACAATAGTAGGAGGAACAATCGTGCTAGCAGCTGAGGGTGGCGCTTATAATCTCACAGGACACACTTGTAAACACATATGTGTATACCCCCCATGAACCATTGTATACATGAACACATGCACACACAGAATAGTTCTAAATAATGTCTGTGTTTACTGAGTTTGTTCATACCCTTTCATTTGTATTGTCTCATTTGAGTTTTTCAACAGGGCCATGAGATCAAGATTCCCCCCCCCCCAATTTTACAGATGCAAACACTGAGGCTTAGATGGGCATCATACTTTTTCATTGCAGTTAGATAACTGCCATAGGTCCTGAGGTTTAGTCCATTATCACCATGGAGGGAAGCATGGCTGCATTTAGGCAGACGGGGTGCTAGAATGATAGCCAAGAGTTCTACCTCTGGGTCAGCAGGCAGCAGAAGGAGAGCAACATTGAGTCTGGCTTCAGCTTCTAAACTCTTAGAGCTGACTCCCAAGGTGACACACTTCCTTCAACAAAGCCACACCTCCTAATAGTGCCACTCTCTATGACCAGGAATTCAAACACATGAATGTATGGTGGCCACTCCTATTCAGAGCAGTAACAAAGCTAGAATGAGACTGGCTCTGGGGCCCACAGTCTCTCAACAGCTGAGGCAGGCACTGTCAAGTAGTTTTGTTTTCTTTGTCAGAATTCTTCTAGCCAGACAGAGAACTGAGCGCTGCTTTTTGGATTTTGGCGGTCAGTTGGTGCTGTTAATGATACTATTCAGCTGTTAGCTAGCACGTCTATCTCTGTTTAGCCCTGGTTACCTGTGATCAGTAGCCTACTTCTTTGATGTCGCAAGTACAGAGGTTCCCTGTTGATGGCAGAAGTCATAAATTGTATGGAGCCCTCCACATCCTCTGTTTTGTTCCATGATAAGGTTTATAAGTTAGGTGTGGTAAGAGACAACGTTACCATAATAAAAGCTACATGCATAGCTCCTTCACTCCCTCATCTTGTGCCATGGTCACTACTTTTCTTGTGGCAGCATCGGCTAACCTGATGCTTGGCTGTCTATGCGAAACTGCTCTTCTAGAACACTGGTCCTCGGTGACGTTAATAAATTAACACCAGCAAGGACACAGTCAGTCTCAATGGTTCTTTATGTTGATGAATCTTTTAACGAGGAAAGTTTGTTTTTACATTTGAGTTTCACATTTTTAGATTACGCTGTTAAGTTTCACACAGGTTAAATAAAATGTATTCTGTAAGACTTATTTTCTTGCTTTGCATTTCTAAAAACATCTTCTCAATCGTTTGGATTTTCCTACTTATCTTCTCCTGATTCTTTTCTCTCATTTTATTTAATTCTCTCTTTTCAGGTCTCAGCACAACTACTTAAGAATTACAAGAATTCTTAAAAGCCTTGGTGAGCTTGGGTACGAGAGTTTTAAATCTCCTCTGGTAAAATTCATTCTTCATGAGGCTTTAGTGGAAAATACTATTCCCAATATCAAGCAGAGTGCTCTGGAGTACTTTGTTTATACAATTAGAGACAGAAGAGAGAGGAGAAAGCTCCTGAGATTTGCCCAGAAACATTACACACCATCAGAGAATTTCATCTGGGGGCCACCTAAGAAAGAACAACCAGAGCGAAGCAAAGCCCAGAAAACACCTACTCTACCTGCTTCTGGCTCAAATGGTCAAACTTCTACACACAAGAAATCCAAGGACTCCAAAAGTTCCTCAGTAGCTATTCACTTAAATAGCAAAACAGTGGAAGAAAAAAGGGGGGCATCTAGAGAGCCTGGGGAGGAGGCAGACAAGCCAAGCTCAGAGCCCAGCAGTGAAGATACCAAGGCAAGAAACACAGAGAAAGACAGTGCTACTGACCAATCTGATTCTACACCCGAGGAAACAGTTCCTGATACTGCAGGAAAAGAGGAATGTCCAACTTCTTCTGAAAAAGGTGAAGAAGGGGAAAACCAGAGCAAAGACTCTGAAAATCCTGAAAATGCCAGCTGTCATGCTGAGGTCATGGTACAGCAAAATGTCACAAACCCACACACCAGTTCTGGTTAAGGGAGTTAAAAAAAAAAACAAACCTGCTGTCTAATTTTACCATGAAGAACAGAGATGAGGTCACGTTTAAATGTTAGCCACCTGTGACTTTTGCTGTAAGCCCTTTGCTCTTGCTTTTATTTTTGGATCACAGTGAATTGGACATTTAAAAAGAAGTTTTAAGACCGGATCCAATAAAAGAATATACTTAGGATGTGTTTTCAAATTCTGTATATAACAGTCACTTTCAAAATAGTTTCAGGTTATCTAGACGCAGTTCTGTAGCATTTGGTATCCAACACAGTCTCTTCAGAGATTCCTGCAGACATCAAGACCCTCTGGTAATGCGGCAGCACCTGGTTTTTAGATTAGTGAAGGATGATGAGTTAGGCATGCCCAAATGTTTCCAGAAACTGGTCTGGATGCTCTGATTACAGCGCCTCGGAGCTCTCAGCTTTGGTGTCTGCCACGGCTGTCCTTCTCATTGGTTTGCTGCCCTCCTCTTCTCCCCCTCTTCTTCCTGCTTGAGCATCACCGTCTCTCTCAGCTTCCACAGAGTTTTCTAGTACACATTAGGGTCCTCTCCTGTACCAATGTCCAGGTGGAACAGAGGGGATTTTTGCTAGTCTGATTTCAGGATTTTTTTATGTTCATAAATAATAAAAAATAGTCTCAGTATTAAGTGTATAGAAAGGATTTTATTTGTGTGTGTATGTGAAAAAAAATAAGGAATGAAAATAGACTTTTGTTTTTTAGTGGCTGTTCTATACAAAATTGGTAGTTTATCATGGATGCAAATCACTGAGGAGTGTTATAAAAACCACAAAAAAATAGTCATTTTGAAAAGATGACTTTTCATACTGTCAACAAGCAAATTGTCCTTTGAGCCATTAGTGTAGTGTAGTGATGCCATGAGGACTATACTGATGTCACCAGTCCACGGTCTGTGTGTATATATGTATGTATGTGTGTATGTATGTATGTTCATCTTTCTTATATGTGCATGTTCATCTCATCTTCATGTATGTTCATCTTTATGTATTATCTATGTATGTTCATCTTCATGTATTGTGTGTGTGTTCATCTTCAAATATTGTGTGTATACGTTCGATTTCATGTATTGTATATATGTTCGCCTTCAAGTATTATGTGTCTATATTCATCTTTCATTTGTCATTTGAAACTGAGAACAGTTTGAAATTATATATACCCACTTTGAGTAAATATTAGATTTGCATAGCATTAGTTAAAAGTCTTGTTTTATACAGTGTTATTGCTAATTATTAGTACAAATCAGAAGACAATCAGAAACACTGTGATAGGAACTTCAGAACATTCATACAAACAGACAAAGTGAGGGACAGAAAATATTTTTACTTTTTTTTTTATTGAGTGAAGAATTGACTTTTAACTATCTCTCTTCAGCTTTTAAGAAAAGCTCCATATGTTTTCACCCACCCCACCCCCACACCCCAGGGAACTTTTCGTATGTCCTCTTTTGTAGTACATCGTATCACTGTCTTCTTGGCTTTTTCAGCCCACAACTTTCAGTGGCGATTCCTACAAAATGCTCCCACCAATTTTAGGCTTTTCGAAATAAAGTTTTGTTGTTTTTAAATTTGCACAGCCCAGCTATTTATCCCTGACGTTATTTGTGCGTCTTAGTGGCACAAATATGATACACATTTATTTGTTAATCATATCCTTGTAAGTAAGACAAGAAACACTTCATCGTTCTAGGTACGTAATATATCAGCTTTAACTTGTACCAATTTGTGAGGTGTTAAGAATTTGAGGTAGCAATCTCAGTTTAAATTGAGTTCAATGCAAGGAGTGCGTGGGCTCTCTTAAGTGATGTTTGTAGCAACAGTCTAAAGATCTTAGTAGACACTTACACAGGATTCAGGGATGGGAGAGGATGGCCAACTTAGGCTGAATTGTAGGGATATAAGCAATTAAATAAAAATATATCTCGATTTTGAACACACAATGAATCATTCACACCTCTTTAAAGGTGTTTAGTATAAAAAAAAACATGGAGCCAGGGGACTGGGGAGATGACTCAGTGGTCAAGAGCTTGTGTTGCTCTTCCAGAGGACCAGGGTTCAGTTCCCTGTACCTATACTGGGTAGTTCACAACTGCCTCAACTACCAGGGGATCTTGTTCTGGCTTCTGGGGGTGGTGGGACTTGCATGCATGTGGTGCACATACATACATACACTCAAGCGCACACATAACATATTTTTTAAAACTAGACATGGGGTCAGATGCTAAAAATATTTTTTAAAAATCAAGCTACCAGATACTAAAGTTAATATAATCCAAATCACTTAGAAGTTACAATATACCAGAACCCTTAGGAATAAAAACACCTAACAATTTAGATTCTAGAGTATTATTCTTTATTAATGGTTTTGTTAGGTTATGCTATTTAATTTGAGAATATTTAGTCTCTAGAGGAGAACTCCCTGGCTTCCGTCTAAAATAGTGGCCTTTTTTCTCGTGGGGGTTGTTTAAACTGAGTATTCATAACGTGACAATGTTTCCTACATTTAATCTGTAAATAGCAGAGAAAATAGCAAAGAACAAGTTAAAGGAAGTCATTTCTTTCACTGATTAAAAATTGAGCATCCCGAATTTTTTCTATTAAGAGCACTTTGTACATTTAATAGTTTTTTAACATAAGATCTAGAGATGATGTGTTTATGTGTATGGTAACTATCAAACAGTGGTCCAAATTTGACTTAGATGTTTTGTGTTTTTCAAACCACCATATGCTTACAGTCATTTACTGAGAAGCTGTTCCAGAAAATGCTGTGCGGCATGGCCGAGTAGCTCGATGCATCGCTGAACATCCGCAGGTGTTCTCACGTGGTCTTTGTTGTACCAAGCGGCAAGGATACAAAGTATCAGCTGTTGATAAAGTTACATTTCACAACAAATAGATGCTATATTGCTTGATTAGCTTGGTGCATTTATAATATTTTTTTGCTTTCATATTTCAGAGGAGAAAATATATGTGAAGATATTTTGAAATACCGTGATAAATAGTTCTATATTTCTGTATGGTGGAGATGTTTCTGACATTAAGATCATTGTATGGTTCTGAGTTTTCAAGCTCATTCTCATAGGAAATTTTAAGTGATCATGATGGACTTGAAAAAAAAAAAAACCTTACCTGCTTTCTCTAAATCGAGGCTTGTTGTCAGTTCTAAAATTAAATTGTATAGTTTTATTTTGTCTTAGGTTTTTGAAATTACAATTTTTAGTTTTAAGGAACAAAGATCTATAACTCAGGAGTTACTAAGGAAGTTTTAAGATTTGCTTTTTGGTGTTACATATATAACTACATGAATGTGTAATAAAAACCTGTCATAACCATGACACATCGTATCATGCCCTCCTGATTTTTATAATTTACCAGGAATGAAGGTAGGATGGGGTGAGAAGGAAAAAACATACACCAAGGTAGTAATTAGAAAAATCATTGTGACAAATAAACCTATATGCCAAATGGTATTTTTAAATGGGTTAAATGAACAAAGAATAGTTGGTTTGTTGTTTTAAGGTCAAGGTTTGTAATACAGTGATTTAGTCAAGCAAATTTAAAACTATTCTCCAGGCTCCTCTAAAATCTGTTTTGTAACACAAGAAGAGCATTTTAAAATCTTAATTATAATTACATCCATGGGTCTTTGATGACTATTTGGAGTAAGATTCCTCATTACAGGAGAATTGGGGAGTAGTTGTTTTTAGAATGGTTTCCTTTTCCTTTCACTGTGTGCATGTGTGCACGCATATGAGTATATGCTCCGATGAGCTGAAACTTGACATGCTAGAATCATTCAAGGCAGGGTAGCTTTAAAGGAAGCTGGCTGGAGTGAGTGTTGCCTCTAGGAGCTTAGCAATGCCTGTCTACTTACCTCTTTAAGCATTGACTTTATTGCAGGAACAGATTTGTGTGGGAAATCTCTAGGCTGAATGTGAATACTACCATACCTCCTCCACTGTTCTAGGGAGACAACCCCCACCCAGCAGACTGTACTCTGGGACAGCCTGCTTTTAGGAGTCTCATTATTGAAATTAACAGTATGGTTCCAACATGAATGCCTAGAGGTTTCAGATGTGCCTTATTGAACGTAAATGGCTTTCATTCAGAAGTTCTAGTTACTATCCCGTTGTATACTCTTACCAAGAGGAACCCTGAGCACTCATCCTTAAAGGATATTCGCCAGATTCAACAATGTATCACCTTTGCTGAAAGGATACAGAGGAGTAAAGATTCACCTGTGCTAGGTTATTTTGGTTTCTCCGTTCTGTACAAGCTGGCCCATTTAAACACCCTTTGGTTTCTACAAGTCATAATGCTTGGTCTTATTTCTGTTCTTGCATTCAGATGGCTACATAAAATAGAATGTTATTAAAGAAATTATTCAAGCCTTCATTCTTGTAGCTGTTTGGAGGAGTCTGAAATTAGTTTGAAAACTTCATGTTACCTTCTTAGTCCACATGTTTACAAGGGCTTGTTCTTGCTTTCCCCTAGAGATTAGAGAAAGTATTCACTGTCATCTAACTTTATCGATTCTCTTGTGAAATTTATTGTTTTCGTTATTTGTGGAAAATAATTATTTTTTCTTGAATTAGAGCTTTTTTTTTTTTTGGTTTTTTCGAGACAGGGTTTCTCTGTGTAGTCCTGGCTGTCCTGGAACTCACTCTGTAGACCAGGCTGGCCTCAAACTCAGAAATCCTCCTGCCTCTGCCTCCCAAGTGCTGGGACTAAAGGCATGCGCCACCACCACCCCGAATTAGAGCTTTTATGTGGACAATCTTGTCATGTACTTGCGTAATCCTAACTGTGACTGGCTGCAAGTGGAGTTCAGAGTGGAAGACACAGCTAAGAAACATGTGACCATCTTGAAGGCAGAGCAAGCCCCTTTCATGGGCATGGGGGGCCTTCAGAGGTGACTCTGGATCATGAAGGTATGATCTCTGATGTCCAGGGTACTAGGCCTTCTTGGACCCTATGCTCCATTTCGATCGGTGTCATTTTCACCAGAATATCTCCTATAATTTATCTGCTATCATCTTATAGTGGTTCAGAAATTTATGAGCAATTGGACATCTGCTCCATATGTAAATTAGTTCTGTCTTTATACCTATCCTGGGAAATACTGAACTGTCATCCTTTACATTTGTTCTTCAATCAAATTTCTTTTGGGCTATTTTTTTTAAATGGCTTATTTTATAGGCAGGGCTCTGGAGAAATATAACTTAATGGAATCTATATGTGTGTGTGTATGTATGTATGTATGTATGTATGTATGTATATCTGACTAGCTTACAAGCTATGGTCCAACTAGTACAACAATGGTTGTCTACTAACAAGAATCCAACAGATATTCAGTCAACAAGACTGGATTTCTCAGCTGGTCTCTAGTATCTACTAGAATCTGTAATGGCAGTGAAGGAATGGACTTGCCAGCAAAAGCAGAAACAAGCAGGCCAAGAGAGCAAATTTTCTTTTTCTGTGTCCTTTATGTAGGCTACCAGCAGAAGATGGGGCCCAGAGTAAAGGTGACTTCTCACCTCAAAAGATGTGGATATATCTTCCTACCTCAAAAGTTCGTTTTTAAGAAAGAAAAAATTCCCTCACAGGTGTGCCCAGCTGCTTCAGCTTTAGTTAACTACAGATGTAGGCAGGTTGCCAACCAAGAATCGCCGTCATATTTATATTTTAAAAACAACAAGAACAACAAAAATGTTCTTGTAAAGTGGGTGCAAAAGGGGCTCAATCTCCACTTGTTACTCTAAAATATTTTCAAGTCATAGCACCATAATGAAAAAATTTTAAATGATGTTTAAATATTCTATCTTTTTAATTAAAGAGATTGAGAACTGTAGGCAGCTAAGCAATGCTAAGAGGAAACAGTTATCCCCAAAGAAGAGCACAGCAATTAATTATCCAGTGTGGTCAGCTCTGAGAACACATGCATGCACGGGGCGGAGAATATTGTAGTTAGGTATTCGGGAACATATAAGTATGTGTACACACGCACACGTGACAGGAAAAGAAGTCGTTGAATTGAACAAGGAGGAGGCCACTTGGGATGGTTTGGAGGGAGGAAAGGAAAGAAGGGAATGGTATAATTGTGGCCTCAAAAGGAAACTTAAAAAATTACGGAGCTTGTATTAACTAGAGAAACCAGGTACAAAAGATACTTTTAGCCGAAGGAACGCTCAACTACTGGGCTCACATATTTTCAACATCAATTGACTTCCAGTTTTATGTGACCAAAGACATGCCCAAATCGAAGTTACTGGAAACCCCAGAATTCTTTGAAGCAGGAGCAGAATGGGTTAGAGATGGGATGTGTTGTGGAGATCAGCCCAGCCGGGAGCTCTGTGCTGAGGCGATGGGCGATTGGTGTGGAAATAGACCCATTAATACTCTCGATGAACTGTGAGTTCCACATTGACACCTTCAATTAGACTAATGGAATTAATCAAATGATCAGTACCAAACTGAATTCCTCTTTATTGTGCAGACAATCGGGGTTGCTAAGCTGACTCAGAGATAGGTGGCAGACAGTCTCTCTCCTCTCTCTCTCTCTCTCTCTCTCTCTCTCTCTCTCTCTCTCTCTCTCTGTCGTTGTCTGCATAGTAATTGTATGGTATCACAACTAAGAATAGAGTGAGGGCCAGAGGGACAGGCCAGAGGGTAAAGATGCTTGCTGCCAAGCCTGACAACTCAGATTGGAGTCCCCATAAGGCACATGATGGGAGGAGAGAGCTGACTTCTGCAAGTTGTCGTCCTTTGACCCTCCCAAGTGCACCACAGCCCTCTCACAGGTGCACACTCACATGAACAAGTGTACACACACACACACACACACACAGAGAGAGAGAGAGAGAGAGAGAGAGAGAGAGAGAGAGAGAGAGAGAATAAATGAGAATAAGAAAAGAAACCCTCAAACAAGAAACAAGCGAGAACAATTTTAAATCCTTTTGTAAGTTTTTAATCTTCTCTAAAGCTTTTATTTGTTTCCTAATTGACATTGGTCCTTTCCTTTTGCTGTCTAAGGAGGTTTTAAAAAAAATATTGGCACTATTTTAGGTTGGAAATGGTTGGGTCTCTTGTATTTCAGGGAAATGGTTGTGATTCTTATAAAGGTGTGCGTGTTCCCTGTTACCCAGCTCCAATGCTCCAATCCTTGAGGGGTCACAGGGCCTTCTCTGCACTGTATTCATCTGCAGTGTGAACCACTCAATGCTTTGCATGTTTGTTATAGCAATACCACGTGTAGAAGTCGTAACCAGTTTTTGGGTTGGTATGGTACTACGCAATACTTCTTTTATAATTCTGTAACTGCATTGCACAATTAATTCCGAGCAAGTATACAGTGCAATAGTTTCTGTTGCTAACTGTTACGTATTGCTTCTAAAATAATATATTTAGTCTTCCTTTAGAATTGTTATTTATTTTAATAGCTGTTGTGTTTAAGAACTATTATACCATGAAGATTAATAAAAGTCAATCAACCTTAGGGAAGAATTTAGTATTGGGCTAGAGTACACAGTGTTGATTTTGCATGATTAAAATGTTTTTTAAAAAGCTAGAAAAAAAAAGAGAGACTTGCTGTTTTCCGTGATTAAACATCATTTTTCTAATGCTTAATATTTAAAATATAAGGGTACAATCTTAGGCATATGAAGTTATTTCTACTGTGAGATTTTACGTGGCAGATTGTGTATGCATCTACTTGGATACATATCTTGCTTTCTTTTTCATTTTTAAATGCCTATTCAAAGATGTATCGGTTGCAGGTCCACGAATATGATGACTTTTTCATTTAAGCAGGATAAAATTTGTAAGAAATTAAACATTTTACTAAAGAAAAATCTGGCCACAGTATATGAGTGAGAAGGGGATTCTAGAACAGTGGTTCTCAACCTTCCTGATTCTGTGGCTCTTTCATATATACCCTTTCCTTAAGTTGTGGTGACCCCCCCCCACACTGTAAAATTATTTTTGTTGCAACTTCAAAACTGTAATTTTGCTACTCTTATGAATTGTAGTTAAACATTTGATATGCATGGTATCTAATATGTAACCCCTGGAGAAGGGTCATTGGACCCCCAAAGGGGTCATGACTCACAGGTTGAGAACCATCGCTCCAGAGTCATTGGACAATGTGGATAGATAAAGTTGGGAGAATATTTTATCTTGGCTGCATTGACCTGTTCGGGCAGAGAGAGAGACAGGACTAGAGATCGAAGAACAACTTGTACCGAGAGAATGAGGTCACCTTGTACGCCACAGAGAAAATGACAGAAAAGTGTGACAATCACAGGGGCGGGAGAACAGGATGCTAACTGCAGCAT